AACCCAGGCATGTGCCCTGATTGGGAATCAAACCAGCAACCCTGTGGTTTGCAGGCCAGTGCTCGATCCACTGAGTCACACCAGCCAGGGCTAATTGTGCATTTTAAATGTATAAATTATATGGTATGTGAATTATATGTCAATAAAGCTGTACCAAAAAACTTTTTAAAGAAACAATGATACGAATAACTTTTATATATAATAGACTCACCTGGGCTGGGTCCCTCAGTTGGCTGGAGCATCATCCCATACACCAGAAGGTTGCAGGTTTGATCCCTGGACCAGGTGCCTAAGGAAGGCAACCGATAGATATTTCTATCTCATATAGATGTTTCTCACATTGATGTTTCTCCCCCCTCCCCTTCCTCTCACTCTCAAATCAATAAAAACATATTCTTGTGTGAGGATTAAAAAAACAAAGTATTTTTTATATATAACACTGAGAAGCCCAACCCTTTGACCCACAGCCCTCACCACACCACACACATATATTTACTACTCCAGTGATAACTGTTTCCAGCGCTGCAGTTGAGACGTGATGGCCTACCCTCACTTGAGCACCTACCCATCCGGTCAGATGATGTTGGTCATTGCCAGCTATTCCCAACAGCTGTATTATCTCTCTGTTGTATTAAAACATTCTTCTTTTAATTGCTCCTCAACCTTTTGGCTAAGATCAAATGTAGTATCTGTTCTTATCAGTTTAAAACATTCTTCCTTAACTCTAAGAATGGGACCATTTTGAAGAGTCATGACCATTTACAATCAACCAGTACGACAACCATTATCGAAAGTTAGTGCTTGGTGCCCTGGCTGGTATGGCTCAGTGGACTGAGTGCCAGCCTGCAGACTGAAAGGTTGCTAGTTTGATTCCTGGTCAGGGCACATGCCTGGGTTCTGGGCCAGGTCCCCACTTAGACATGACAGAGGGAACAATCAGTTGCCTCGCCCTGTATTTGAGATGTGCAACTGGTTATATGTGCAGAAATCATGATATTTTGTGTGTGTGATTTAATGTGTCAAGTCAAAATTTAATAAGCTCCTACTGTATGCAAGTCTGAAGCATGGCAATGATGAACCAGCTAGAAAAGAGTCACAAATTCTGAATTATCTGTTAAGGCATAGTACATGACCATGATCCCTTTTCTACCATTCTAATATCCCCAAAGCTCTGAAAACCTAAAATTCTTTTGATAATTCATTTGGCAGCAAAAAAAAAAAAATCTGACCTGAACTCATTAGATTTTGTCTTTTCTACTGTGAACATTCATACATCTTGCTGCACACACACACACACACACACACACATATATATATATATATATATATATTCATATTTGGTTATAGGGTTGTGCCCCACAGTTTATGAGGGTATTATGTAATGCATAAGAAATTTCAGGTGTTTAATGGTTCTTTTGTGCACTTCATTTGTGAACACATACTCATGCATTTAATTGCAGTTAAATAGGATTTAAAAAGCATCATGAAAGATAATATAACAATCCTATGAAAAGCACAGTTCTCATTCTCATTTTTTATTCATTATTTAAAATAAAAGAACACTACAAAATAAAAGTAACAACATACTTAAAAAGTTTATACCATATCTTTCTTCCATTGGCTGTCATTCTTTTAAAAAATGACAAGGTATAATTGTAGCAAAACATGTTTGTTCCATGAAATAGAATGGAAGGTATAAGTTAAAATCATGTATATGGAACCCGAATTTAATAGGACTAATTCAACCTGATAACCATCGATTAGAAGTCACTGAATATCACAATGTTTGAGGTGCTATTTTAAAAAAAGACAAAAAATGTACCCAGAGAGATAACAATAAAGAACACTACTTTTTAAAATCCTAAAGCATTTTCTTTTCATTTGTTCTATACCATGATTACTTGTAGTTAGTGAACTAGATAGTTAATGATTGATAGAGATTGTCACAGCTCATCACTCGTGTCTACTTTCATTGGTTATTAAGATTATAAAGATACTGAGTCATGCAGCAGTACACTCAGGTTTAAAATACTTTCTTAGTTATTTTAAGATCACGTGAAGATTGGTTGCTCAGTAAAGTTTAGTGAAAACATTTGGATTTAGAAAGAAGCAGAGATAGCTATTTATCAGCTACAGAATTTCCAGGAGTTAGCTTCTGGTTGGGAATGTATTCTATATTAAAATATAAAGTATCTAAATTTAAAGCCTTTATAGTCTTTTTTTCCCTTAAAAATAACATGTTTCCTTTGCATTTCCAACTAAATCTCTACAGGCAGTTACTTGAGAACAAATGGGTTAACTTATGAAATGGGCCTTTAGTCTTTCAAATCCTTCTCTCTGTCAGACCTAAGGATATTATTCAAACATAGTGCACTTTCTGAAGTCAGTGGAAGCTTTGTGATTAACTGAACCAGGGGCAATATAAAACCTGATGAAAACACAACATGATTTTATTAATCCATAGGTTCAGTTTTTTTGATGATGTAAAGTTGGATAAGTAGATTGGTGAGGTTATCTTAATAATAAAGATGGCTTTTGTTGCCACACACAAAAAAATCATGGAGTTCTTTGTGGTTTTTTGAAATCTAGAGTAAACTCTCAAGTTTCTAGGCTCAAGAAATCTTGTTTGCTACTATTATGTATATAAAGACCAGATTTAAAATCACTCTAATTACATAATCATTTTGGCTTAAGCTTATTACCATTTAATAAATCATCACATTACCACTTGTACTAAAAGTGTTAATGCAACTCAAAATGATCAATAAAATATATTTAAAAAATGAGCAATTTTGGTCAGGGACAAGTTTATCATACAATTGGATAGTTTTTCATTTATTTTTTTAAAGTGATATTTATTTAAAATATTTAGTAATTAGCTACATCATTCAGTAGTTTAAAAATTTTAATTTAAATGGATTTAAATTTAAACTAAATAGATTTTAAATTAAATAATTTCAATTATATCTGATTCATGTATATCTGACTTCTAATACACATAGTCAAAATGTTTTGCCTGGAACAAATATTTTTGCTATTTTGGCATTATTGCCCATATTCTCTATAATGATATGTAAGAAAATAGGTCAGCTATTTTATATATATGCATATATATCTAGATAAAGATATCTGGCTAAGGTTATACACATGTTTGGCAATGCCGTATAAGAACTCAGATCTTTATGTCATCGTTCATTTTAAAATTGTTTTACCATATATAGCTCCTGTAAAACACCATACTGATTTAGCTCAATTTTAGTATTTTGTGGATTCAGTTAAAATCACATTTCCCCTTTTCTTCAGCACACAAACACATACACACCCAACACAGCATAGTAATGGAAAGAACCCATTACTATGGGAAAGAAGGTGGAAGGAGAACCAGAGTTCTAGGCTTGCTTCTTTCTGCTCATGTGTGGCATTGGTAATTATCAATTTTTGGAGGCCCTGCCTTCTCATTTATTTTTTCTGATTCCTTAATTCTATTCTGAATCTTGGAACACATCACACCATTTAGCCCAAATATTAATCTTAATTAGCATCACAAAGGGTGTCCACTAAAAGTTAAATCACATTTTGTATTTTAGCTGTTTGAACTTTAGAAGTAGACACAGGTGACTATACTTTAAACTGCTGTTACATTCTCAGTTTTTGAGTTTATGCCATTTTGGGCTCATGGAAAATTGTAATATAAGATGTAAAATTTTAACAATAAAAATAGATTACTTCACATTTGGGGGGAACAGGTATTTTCTTATCTGGTCAATTATAGCTTGAACTTACTCAAGTGAAATTAACCTAAGGATATCAAGAAAATATTGACAGTATAAATATACAAAAATTTGATTCTCTCTATAAGTGCTATTAAAAATATTTACATGAACCTTACAACTATTTAAAAGTATAATTAAATTTCCACTTTTAAGATGCACAGAATATAGATTTAAACATGATTTTGATTCAATCAAGTCTCCTGGGATTTCCCTTTCCATCATTTGCCCTTTGGAGGAGCAGTGTTCCAGGTTAAGAGGGCAGAGGCTGTACATCAAACCAAGAACTCCCTCAGGTCCATGAGAACATGCACCTTTTTTGCTCTCTCTGCAGAATGTGGGAATGTAAGGAAAGAACATGAGAAATCCAAGTGCTTATCCATTGTAAATATAACAGCATGCCCATGAGCAGCTGATACCAATCTAACATTTGTATGCTGCTTTCTCTATTTATAAAGCTTTTTCACATAGTTCAACTGATTCTAACATTTGTATGCTGCTTTCTCTATTTATAAAGCTTTTTCACATAGTTCAACCCCATACATGGGGTTATTAGCCTCATTTTACAGATGAGAAAATGGATACTTAGAGAGATTAAGTGACTTACTTGTGTACAAATGCTGGTACAGCAAAGACAAGCTTAGAACTCAGGTTTTTAAAATTTCTCCTTAAATATTCTTCCTACCATACCATTTTGGTTTTCAAACAAAATGAAGCTACTACAGTTTAACAGTACAAACCTCATGATTCCAAAAAGGCAGCCTCATGGTGCCCTTTTGTGATAGAAATGGTTTAGAGAACAGAATAGAAATGTATGTTATAGAACATTTGACATTATCAAACTGTCTCTTCCAGGAGGGGAATTTAACCAGTAAGTTAAAAATTTGGAAACTCAAAAGTCATTTTGTAGCCTTAGCTCATTATTTTATCTTTACCTTGACTGATGAGATATAAAATACAATTTGAATGCTAAATGTGTCAAACATCTAACTTTGTCCATGAAAATCTTTACTACGATTTTCTTCTATTGGAAATTTAGAAATTTACTTGGACTAAAAACATTCCATATTTACTTAATATTGATAATTTTGACAATAATTCTAAGTAAATTGCATTTAGTTCAAGTAAATTTCATGTACTTCTGTGAGAATGTCAGTATATAAATAAATTTGTTTTTCTTGTCTAAATAAGGACAGTATAATATAACATCAAAACATTTGCTGATAAGTGGTCCTTTGTTTTTATTTTTATAAATATTTGCAATAAAATATTTTGCTTGGATCCTTACATAGCTTCATAAAACATAAAATTTTCAGGAGCAATAAATTAGAGAACAAAAATGAGTATAAAACTTATTTTGTTATGTTCAGGCAAAATTAAGGGAAGACAAATATTTCAGAGAATAAAAATCTGGTACCTTAAACAAAAAACTGCTATTTTAGTCTCAGTTGATACCTCTAAGATTGTTTAATTTGTATGTGAACAGTGCACTTTTAAATCTACTTTACTATTCAATACTAATAAATTAACTCAGAATGTAATTCTTGTTAAATCTTTTCAATCAGACTGTATTTGTACAAAAAACCCATTTCAATATGTCAATAAAAATGAGTAATATTGACATATTTGGAAATTAAGTTCAGCTATATGCCGACAAAGTGAGAACAGGGGTAATTTGGTAGTTTCAAGAAAAAGTTGTCTTCACAACTAAGGGGGGTGGGAAATGGGAGGGAAGTGGGGAACACTGCGGGGGGTGGGCTCGGATGGGAGTAGAAGACAGAGGCTGTACTTGAATAACAATTAAATTTTTAAAATTAAAAAAAAGAAAAAGTTGTCTTCTTTGCCTGATATCTTAGCAAAATACTCAATCTTGTAGTGTTATATATAAGTAAGCATCATGCTCTGAATCAAATATCTTACAAAATAGTGTTAACACAGGTTTAGCACTTTTTTATAATTGTTTCATTGCATCATTTTCCTGGTAACGTTGGTGTTTATCCTGAAATGACATCTAATCAGTTCTTGTTAGTTCTTTGGCATGTTTGAAGTCAGCAGACGCACTCTTTCCTGGGCTTCACTGCTTCCTCAGAAGAATGCACAGTGTTTGGAACAAAACCACTTTTAACCCCTTCCCAGCCATCCTGAATACAAATTTCTCCCCTTTTGATAAGTTCATATATGTCTCTGGTTAAGATAGTGAAGGATTCCTCAACATTTGTAGCATCTTTTGCTGAGGTTTCTATATACTTCATACCACAGTCTGCTGACAGTTTTTCAGCTTCTTCTCTTGTAACTTGACGTTGTGAAGCTAAGTCACATTTGTGTCCCACTAGCAGAAATACTATCCGAAATGGCTGTACGTGCATTTTTGCTTCTTCTAGCCAATCTTTCACATGTTCAAAAGATCGTCGGTTAGTTATGTCAAATACTAAAAATCCACCAACTGAGTTGCGGTAATAAGATCGAGTTATTGATCTGAAAAATAAATAGAAAAAATGGTTGTAAAAGAACAAGTTGTTCTTATTCCCAATCCCAAATAATGTACCACTACAATAAAATTTGACTATACCTTAGTGTGATTTAATTAGAATTTATAAATCGAGTACAAAGTGTTTTAAGTGAACAAATATATTCTGAGACTAAATATGCAAGCCAGTTTCAACCACTGAACAAGAAGTTATTTTTAGACAGACAAGCACCTACATGGTATGTCTTCTCACACAATTTTAGGATTATTTTTAATTATCTGAAAGAATAATTATAATTCTATAATAATTATTACATCATTGTAGTTAAAAATAGACACACAGAAAGATCTGAAGGGCAGAGGCTACCAGAAAACTGGTTATGTTAATCACAGTTAGAGTCCTCTCCTATACTTATGCAAGAAAAAGGAAATTGTTTGGATATGGGAGGAGGTATGCTAATGAGTTTTGCCTCTCTAGATCTAGTCTCCACTCCCTGGGCCTCAGGGAGCTGACCCTTTACAGAAAGCTTTCCCAAACACCCTTGCTATGTGGCTTGCAGTGGGGTCCAGCCAAAGTGAGGTGCCAGCTGGAGCCTAGAAGAAAGAGAAGACAGGTATTGACACCCCCATGCCCCCACCCCCTCCAGCCTGTGACTTGGCAGTGGTTATGTTCCTCTGCTTCTGGCCAAGGTTCCTGTTGGGTAGGCCCACTCCCATGGCTTTCCCCAGATTCTGCTGACTTCATCCTCTTCTCCTGCCCCACCTGGCTTCCCGCTGTAGCTATCCCTGAATGCTTCACCATTCATTGTTGGTGCCCTTGACCTTTCCCACATTTCTGAAATGGTTACTTCATTAAACTCTTTTCAGTTAACCTTCACTTGTGCCATTTTCCTGATAGAATCATGAGGCAAGGTGACAAGGCCATATACTGTTTCATATTTCTTGCCTTTACAATGTTATTTTCTTTACCTAGAATGTCTTCTCTCCATTTTTGCGTAGCAAACTTATGTTTCTCCTTCAAGTGTCAGATCAAAAATCATGTACATGAGAAGCCGCCCCTGCCACTGACCTCCCCACCTCCACCTCTCTTGGGTATCCTCTTATATTCCACTAGACCTTAGGTAGGCACACTGCCATTATGATTATATCAATTTTCATAATGTTCTGATTGGAGGAGATGCCAGTGTGTCTCCCATTAAATTCAAGGCTCCTTGAGGATCAAATATTTTTAACCTATTTTGCACTTAACAATTACATAGCCTGGTAAATGATAGACGTCACTTAATATAGCATGTATCTCAGTTTCCAAGTTGTCAGTGTTTCTGAGCATTGAGATCATCCATAAGCAAACTTGTCTGTTACTTTCCTGACTCATTAAAGGTCTTTGTAAAGGACCAATGGATTATTGGGTCCTCTCAACCTCTGCATACTTTCATCATCCTTATTGCTGAAATTACGGCTCAGTTCTGTTACCTGATACCACAAGTACCATTTATTATGCAAGTGTGAAAAAAGTATTTCACCTCCCTTTCTTGCCATTTCTTCTGCTTTCCTATTTATCCTCAGAATTTCCACCAGAGATTCTCAAGTGATTACACTTAAATAGTTTTCTCAAGGACTACTGTATTATATAGCCACTGATAATAAAAATTCACCTCCCACTATCTTTAGCAGGCTACAAATAAGTACAAATGGAGTTCATTTAAGTTGTTGCTTTAAACATTTTTTGAGGGATAATTAATCTGTTATTGTTCTGCTACTCATCTTTATACGTGTGAATTTAGGTAGATGTACAGTGCCTTAAGATAAAGCTATGTTATTAGGCTGAAAGCTTTAATTTATTCAGCACCACATCTTCATTGATTTTATTTCCCTCCCTAGTTAATTTACCATTCGTAAGATTTTTACAGACATGCTTTTGTGGTTAAAAACTCAATATTGAAATGCTGGTATATTAGGCAGAGACATGTCTTACACTCCAGGAAGTATCATGTTTTCTAATATGTGGCTGAAAACGTTTGGAATACAGTTGGTGAATAATTCTAGAAAATAAAATACAAAAAAGTACAGTATATGCAATTAGGCTATACAACAGCCCTTATTAATGATTAGCTAGAATAAAGGGTTTCAGTATGACATCTGCCACTTTCTATATAATTAGTTGATCTCCAGTTTCTGCAGAAATGGATATTAGGTTTAAATTCTGATATGGTTAGGCTTCACATCAAGATTTTATTTGTCCTAGCAGGTAGGTTTTCCCTAAAACAATTGGGCACCCCTGCTGTCAATCATGTAGGGCAGTGATTTTCAACCTTTTCCATCTCATGGCACACATAAACTAATTACTAAAATTCTGTGGCACGCCAAAAAAATTTTTTTTGCCAATCTGACAAAAAAAAATAGGTATAACTTTGATTCATTCACACTGGTCAGCTATTGTGATATAGGCTGTTGTCATTTTTTAATTTGACAATCTGAGGGATAAGAAGTCAGTGCCCCTGACTAAATAGTCAGGTATTGCATGTTTTCCATTTTTTTGCAGCACGCCAGTTGAAAATCACTGATTTTGGGGAAAAGACAGTCCTTCAGACTGAAAACTGGAACTTGAAAGGCAGCTTTTACAGGGAGGGCAAGGGAGCATCTATTTTTCTTTGGATTTCTTCTCTTGCGTCAGGACACTTAGATCTCTAGAAGTTCTTAAAGGTATTATAAAGAGATAGGGAACAGACCCTAAAAGAATTAAATAGGTAGGCCTCCCTGTAAAGAATTTAAGAGTTGATGACGAGTAACAGTTCTTTATAAGCAATGCCATCTTACCGCATGTTACTTTACATTTCCTTCTGGGCTTTGAAAGTCTCACTGAGTGAATGGATGATGTAAAGAAAAAAATTAGAGAAGAAAGGAGAAATAAAATAATGGATTATAATCTGGCCTCAAGTGTGTTATTGGAGAATTAAGAGTTATAAGACTACACTCTGGCACTACTGGTAAGGGGGATACTGCACCCCCTAAAACCAGTGTGATGGTGGTATGACAGGGAAGGTGAACTGTGGAGGACAAGGATCAGGGTTATAAGCTCTTAGTCACATCTTATCCCTCCCATGTGGAAGATCTGGTTTTCATCACATAAACAAAAAAATCTACTGGTTCTTTTTTAAATTGAACAACAATAAAATTTTTTACAAAATGAATAAAAATAAAAACTATGTTTAAAAGTAAAAAATATATATATATATTTTATTAATATTAGAGGGAGAGAAAGGGAGCAAGAAAAAATGTCAATGTGAGAGAGAAACATCAATTGGTTGCTTCTCATATGTGCCCAACCAGGGATTGAACCCACAGCCTAGGTATGTACCCTCACTGGGAATTGAACTCCCAACCTTTTGGTATAAGAGATGACACTCCAACCAACTAAGCCACACTGGCCAGGGCCCTACTGATTCTTTCATGCCTAGAAAGCTACAGTATTAGCAACTCTCATTCCATTTTCAAAGAACAGTCTTCTCTCAGAATTGTTTTCTCCTCCTCCTTGTGTTAACTGAAAACGGCTAGTTCCCGAGAACACAGCTTTCCCTGCAGCATGCTCATGTTGTTCATTCTGTAGGCTCAGCAGGTGGCTTCTGCCTCCCCAATGCCACTTGCAGATAATTATTCTCTTCCAACCCTGATGTAAAAACAAACAAACAAACAAAAACCCCTGCTCCTTTGAGGCTTAGTCATCTGGCTCTGTCATTTGCTGCCATCTGCCAACTGCTTGGTCATTCTCCATGTACTGAAGACTAGAACTTTGTTTCCCTTTCTATCTCAATTCTCGTCATTCTGCTCACTGATTTCAGTATCCATATAACTTTCTGATGTAATCTCTCAGTTTCCTGACTTCCTCATCTCTCCATGATGAGGAAGGATGGACTTTCCCTCCATTCTGCCTTTCTCATTCACTTCCTTTTCATCATCAAAAATGTGCATCACCCCAAAACTGAAAATTTAATCTACTTTTTAATCAAAATCTCACAGCACAACAGCATATTTTTACTTTGATAATTATTTAATTTTATTAAGATTTTTAATCCACTGCCCAACTCTATGATGTTCTATCCATCAATATCTTGCTGTCTTTACCTCCTCCCATGTCTTAGTTCTATGAAACATGACTACAGTTTTTCTCTTAGAAACATCTCAATTCCAAAGCCCTCTCCCTCTGTCATCTTCAGTTGGGAAAACTATATCTAGATCAGTCCAGCATGCAGCTGAATGTTCCTGAGGAAAACCATTCAACTAGATAGGCTGGTACCCCTACGAGTTAATAATAAACAATACCAAATGGATACTCAACACTGTCTAGGAATACTACTGGTATTAGGAGAAAGTTTTCTCCCTATTTCTTCACATTTAGGTTTCTACTATAAGAAAAAACAATTTCCAGAGACTTCCTCCAAGATGGAGGCATAGGTGGAAGCACTGTGCCTTCGTGCACAACCAAGTTTAAAAACAACAAAGTTTTAGCAACAAAAAAGCAGTCAAACCACAGAAAATTGAACTATACAGAAGTCTGACAACAACGAACCCTTCAGCCAAACTGGTAAGAGGGGCAGAGCCAGCAGCAGAGCAGGGTTGGGTGGGAAAGATCCACCAGACTGACCCGGGCCTGTGACCCAAGTGCGCCAGCAGCTGTGGGCAGATCTCAGGTGTAGAGTAGCGGGTAGACCCCTTGAGGGCTGACCGTGGTCACACATTTGCGCGCAGATAAACCGGTGAAGGAGCGAGCAGTGAGACGAACTGTGCAAGCCCCAGCATCAGGAAGCTGCAGAGGGAACCGCTATTGTCCCTCTCTGACCCGCCCCCACATACAGCATCACAAACCAGTGACCTGGGTGGCCCTGCCCTGGTGAACAACTAAGGCTCCTCATATGTAACAGGCAGGAACAGATCAAAACATGGCTCAAGAACAACTCAGAGCCCCAGAGCCAATAAATCTAAACGAACAAGAAATAGCCAAACTTTCAGA